TAATTAAGCCTTTTCCATACTTCCTACATCTGCACGTTAAATATGCATTGTTTGTAGTTATTCCAACAGTTTAAGTTTATAGAGAGTGAAAACCAAGATTTACACTGCCTAACAGTGTTAAAACACACTGCTGGTGTTTAAATGCTTCAGTACAAAAGGTCAGGTGGTTTTACTAAAGGACTGCACTGGTATGTTTGTCCTATTTCAGTCTTTTAACAAATTTTACTACTACAAAATAAATTAAGGAGAATACAAAATATAATTGTGTAAAACAGGGCAAACTTTCTCTCTTTTCTTTTTCTTTTTTAAATGGAAATACTGAGGATTGAACCTAGGACCTTATGCATGCTAAGCATATGCTTTGCCACTGAGCTATACCCATTCCCCAAGCTTTCTCTTAAAGAGTCAAAAAGTAAACGTTTCAGGCTTGTGAACCATGCAGTCTTTGTTGAAACTACTCAACTCCGCTCTTGTAGCACAAAAGAAGCCACAGTCAATGTGCAAGTAAATAAAGCATGGTTGTGTTCCAATAAAACTTTATAGACAGGTCACCAGCCACTAGACTCAGGTTGCCAACTCATACACAATAAGGAAAATGCTCAGAATTTATTACATGATATAAAAGAAAAACATAGCGCAGCAAATTCAGTTGAAGACACCTGATAAGAAAATACTGTAATATCCTGTAAGAGATATACTGGGAGTGCTTAGCCTTTGCTAGTTTGTGAAATAATAATAAATTAAAATTATGATAAGTGTGACAGATTCCAAGGTGTTCCTCATGAATTTGTGTCCTGGTATTCATGCCTCTATATAATCTCTTCTCTTTGAATGTAGGTGGAACCTGTGCTTTGCTTTTAACCCAAAGAATATGCCAAGGCAATGGGACATCAATTCTGTTACACAGAACTGTAACACTGTGTCTTGCTGAGAGACATTCTCTCTTACTGGTTTTGAAGAAATAAGATGCCATGTTGTGTGCTGCCCTATGCAGAGAGCGCCTCTGGCTGACATCAAGGAGCTAAATGCTGCCAACAAACATGTGAGCTTGGAAGTAGATCCTTCCTCTACCAACCTCCAGATGAGAAGTCAGTCCTGGCTAACACCTTGATTGTTGGCTTGCGGAGAACGAACTAAGCTGTGCCTAGACTCCTGACCCATGGAAATTGAGAGATAGTAAGTGTGAGCTGTTTTAAGATACTAAGTTTGTGTTAATATTGTTACACAGCAATAGGTAACTAACATATAGAAGAATGCTCATAATTAGCTGTAATTGTTTAAAAGCATATCATTTATCTCCTACTTCTAGAACTAAAACTATATAAATAATGCCAGAGACTAAATTAAAAATAATGCATTCATACATGTCACATAACTTTAATCACTGACTTGTACTAAATCTTTTTGATGCTCAATATCTCCACAAACAGATCAAGAGCCTTTACTTTAAAAGAAGCTGTGAGAATGCAAAATGTTTATGCCATCCCTTCACTTTTCATAATTTTAAAGTGTTCTAAATTTACCCATGTACCAGACAGTCGGAAAGCAATTTAAATGCAAGACATCTCAAACCTATTCCAGTACAAAAGAATGAAACATGTTTTAAGAAAATTCTATCTTTGATTTTCAAAGTAAATATAACACTCCCTTAGTTCTTCAATTTATTCCTCAGAGAATGGCCTTTGATGTACTCATATTCATTTACTGTGTTGCATTCTGAAGGTCCAAAGTAGACCTACCATGGGTTTTCTGGCAGTGCTCACTGTCTCCAGCCTCCATAGTTACAGCGCTCTTACACTGCTAATCCACAACTCTGCTATTCCACACTCATGCACATGCACACACTTATATACACAACTGCCTTGGTAAATGAGTAATCTATTTCAAGAGAAAATGGTTAAAATGTTGACAGTCTACGGTGAAAAGTTATTAATGGAAATTACCTTCACGCTTTAATTTTCTCTTGCTTCTGGAAAAAATAACTCTGTTGAGTGATGAGCAGTATAGTAAAGCCTGAGGCGCCTAACCACTGATCTTAAATCTCCATGTTTAGTTTATATTGAGAACTATTCACCTATTTTTTAAGGCAGATTTCATCTATTGTACAAGTTGTATTGACTTAGGAATGGAGAAAAGTAGAAAATCTAGTAGGTAATATACGTTCTGTTAATATTTCAAAAAAAAGGGAAAAATGCTTCCAAATTCTATTTTAAGATTTCCCAGAGAAAACAAGCTAATATAATAAAATTAAGTTTATCTATGTTATACCTATTTTAAAAAATCTTATACAGTTAGAAGAAGTTGACAGTAGGGCATAAATAATCCTGAGAAGATTCAAAATATTAGCTTTATGGAAAGACCAGACTATAAAGGCAAGTCCTTTGCTTTATATTTGTTATATTCTTTTATTCAATTAATAATTCAACAAATCATTATTGAATACCTAGTATAATGCTTCGGTGAACTGATATTTAATCAAGGACAGACTTTTTAAAAAATCTGTTACTGTGCTTTACTCACTCCTGTTTGAGTTTTTCCTTATTACTCATTATAAAAAGAATTTTGGCTAGATCACCAAGTTCATTAGGCACACACGTTCTGTTTCCAGATAACTGCAGACAACAACATTACTAAGCTTTCTGCTGCTAAATAACAAGGATCCTCTTTCCTCCAGCTTTCAGTAACATGGCCCTCTTTCCTTTTCGCCCCTGTTGGTAGTGTCCTCAAAGTACAAATTTCTGCTAACAATCTGTTTCAAGCAATTCAGGCTTTCTCTAATATACTCCTCAAAATCCTTTCAGGCTTTGCCCACTGCCTGGTTCTAAAGCCACTCCGATATTTCTAGGTATTTTTCATAGAAACATTCACTTTTAAGACACCAAAATCTATTATGAAATAATATTGTCAATATTTGCAGAAAATGATTGCCTACTTAGAAAATTCAAGTGTTAAATAATTCAAAAGATGCTAGTTAAAAGATCAATATACGAAAATCAATAGTAGTCCCTTATACAGCTACAATCAGCAATAAAATGTAATACTAATAAACACATCTATTATGGTAGTAACTTACTATGATATAATTATTTGCTCTACACATGTCTCCTCCATAGATGCAAAGTTCCTGAAGGGAAGAGTGTAACATTTGTATTTGTAACCCAATATATAGCATGTACTTGGATGTTCAATGAACATTTTTCAAATGAATTATCACTCATCATTGGATTCTTAGTCTCATTCACAGATACTTCTTCTGGAGGAAAGAGTTAAAATTCAGCTGCATATTTTTTTAAACCATTTTAATAACTCTACAGATTTTCGGTCATTTAAGAGAAAAGTCCCAGTTTCAAATCATAAAATATCAGTATTCACTTTTTACCTGTTTGGACTGGTAGAGATTAAAATGTTTAATAACGTACAGCATTGTCAAGGGTGAGGGTAAAATGGTATTCTTACAATTGTTCTTTGAAGTATAAGGAGGTATAACCTCTTGGGAGAGCACTCTATTATTTAATACAATTTAATGTGTTTCTATCAAGCACACCTGTATCTTTGGAATTTGTTATATCTTATATATAAAATTTGTAGTAGGGTTGTTAGTAACAGAAACAAATGAATTCAATTTATCAGTAAAGAATGATTTAAATGAATCGTGGCACATCTATACAATGAAATTCTATGCAGTTGTTAAGAAGAATGAGGTATATCCATATGAATGCACATGGACTGATCGCTAAGATGTACTAAGTAGAAAAAGCAAGGTGCTGAATGCTCCCATGTACATTACTTATGTAGAAATATTTGGGTGGGAAACCCAGGATAGTCTCTGGGTATGGGGAGTGAAAAACTGAAAGGACAACCTCATTTTTCTACATGTCCTTTGTATTTTGATATATTTATATATTTATATCAAAACTTTGAATTACTTTTTCCATAAAAATCCTTCAATCATACTTTATTTGCTAAAAGATATATTTTTAAAATTACAACTGACATCACCATTTCTGGAATTTTAGCATAGGTCATACTAAATTTGGAATATTGTATTCAGTTTTGGGCACAAGTGAAGAGAAAATGCCAGACCAGAAGGTGTGACAAGAGAACAACCAGGAGAGTAAGGAGTGGGAATATGGTGATACTCAGAAACCAGTTTAAGAAACCATGTCTATTTAGTTTGGAGATCTGAGGTGATAAACAGTTTCAAATATTTTAAGAGTACCTTGTGAACGAGTACCAGAGGACAAAACTAGGAACAACAAATTCATTACAAGTATACAAATGAGTAAAGAACTTTCTAATAAATCATAGCATTTTCAATAGCAAAGCATTGCTTTGTGAAGTAGTTGAGCCATTTAAACTAGATAATCTGCACTCAAAAGGTGTTTGAGATTTGTTAAGGATTATGGAAAAGTGATTTGCGACTAGATAGGAGCTTTGATTATGTAACTGCCAAGGTTTATTTCGATTCCAAGGCTGGATGATCTAAACTAAAATTTTAAAAAGGCATATAGGGTTATGATGTATATTTCAATAAGGACCATTAAGGCTTTAAACATGAACAAAAATATGCCTTACCAATTTGTTACTTCTCTTTCAATAAGAAGACACTTATGATAAAAATCTATGATATATACAATGAATTTATATGAACATCAATTTATCAAAATAATCACTGTAATAATCCCACTCTAAATACTGACATTCTCCAAAAAAATCAATTGGTACTAATTTTAGTCTCTTTAAAAAATGGAACACAATGCACTGTGAACATTTTTAAATTATAAGAGCTACATTTTCAGATATATTTACCTAATTCATTTCAAGTTCAGATCAACGTTTCAATTTACATTAGAACTTAAGGCAATTAGGCAATTCCTCTTTAATTTATCTTAACTCTTGTAGACAGTTAAACACTTAATTTCAGAATAGGCAACCCCATAAAATCATTATGCACAACAGAAAACTGAATGAGAAGGGCAAAGTATGTATGCTATACTAACCAATTAGAAGAACAGTTCCAACGGCCAAACCTCCACCTGGAAATGAAACAAAACCAAGAAGAAGATTAATCTACCTTTTCATATTATCTTTAGCATAAAAGTTAGGCTTTATCAAGGACAGGTACTTCAATAACTTTAAAATTGCAGTTGAGAACAACATTTTAATTACCTTTGCAATACTTTGCTTAAGGTGCTATTATGAAATAATTATATGTTATATGTAATTATACACTACACATTACAATTACTTTCATAATATACTGTACTATCCTCTTCTCTCCTGTGATAGGGCCATGCAGCATTCAACATAACTGGTTAAGCATTCCATTAACGTTATATTTAGCACTAGTTAATAAATTAGCTCAATAGCTGAGACCTGAATGTGCACAGTAACTTAACTACTATAGAAGTACAACGTAGAAAAGAAAGGTTATTAGAAATTCCACTTTAATATTTATCCTCAAATTTAATAAGCCTTGGAGAAAACCTGACAATTAAAACTAATTCTTTTTTCCATTATTAATAATTACATAAACTCTGGACATGTTCTAAATATACTTAGAATTTAAAATGAACAATATTTTTGTCATTTCAAACAAAAAGGCACAAACATAAAACACATTTTCAGTTTTACTAGAAAATGTTCTTATAAATATCTGAATTAGGGTAATATGATCATAAACATGTAACTCAAATACTGGTTTATTAAAAATCAATTTAAAATCAAGGTTTAGGAAACTAGAACAACACTAAAGATATTCAGCCATTTGACTATTGATATTTTGTTTGTAAAACCATATGTAAAAGAATTACTCTATGTAATTAATGTTGTAAACACTAACAAATTCACTTAAAAATTTAAAATAGAATGAAATTAAAGTATAATTAACTTAAAAAGAAACTACTCAAAATTGTTGGACAATTGAAGACAATGTTAGTAGGGGTTTTGTTTGCTGCTTTTTTGCACAAACCTGAAACATTCAGAACACCAATAAAGAACTTTTTCCCAAAAATGTTTACCGGCAAATGTTATATAGAAAAAGGGTATGAAAAGTTCCTTTGATAGGGTTTACTTTTTGCCCTACAAATAATCCTAAATAACTGTTACGTTTCAAAGAATTTGAAATTTGGTAACATGCATGCACACAGAATACGATGCAAGATTTGAGGACTTTATGACTATAAACAGAACATTCCGATGTGTTAGAAAACAATTTTTTTAAAAGAAGAAATCAATACATCTATATATTTTAAGTGGATTTGTTATTGAATTAAACATGTATTTTAATTTCACAGTTAGGTAAGTTCCTTCATTTTAGCATTTAAAGCCACACCAGACTGCATGCTGTAACTTCGAATGTTGGTCAAACTAAAAGGCTAACATAACTGAAATATATGTTCTAAATATCTATTTATAGTATAGGATATGAACTTTGGAAGTCAATATTGTGTATATTATACAATAAAGGATCAGAGCAAAACGGTTTTCTTTGGGACAAGACTAGACTAAATATATTACAGCTTGTGCTACATCCAGACCACTGCCAACTTTTTAATCACTTTCAAACATTTTAAATCATACTTTCTAACTCCTTACTTCACTACTTTCCCATACATGCAAAAATAAACATTTAGCTACCTAATCATCATTTTGTACTTGAGATGAAATGATATAAACACATAACAAATACTGCAGTGTCTAGTCTAGAGCAAGTACTATAAAAAAGCTAGCTGCCTTTATTTTTCCATAATTTACTTTTAGAGGAAGGAGTTACATTCTTTATCTAATCTTCTTGGAGTTACACATTCATGTCTCCCCGAATTAGGAACTTATATAAGGTTCCAAGTGGAAACAGAGAAGTAAAAATTTTTCATGAACGATATTCACAGAGAACAGATCAAGAAATAGGTTCCCAATTAAATGAAGTGATATCTAGATCAGGTGTCTTGCCTAAAAAGGTACTCAGTAAGGGCTACTCTTACCATTCTGGTAATTATTTTCTGATTAGAACAAATCACTAAAAATGTATCGTTACTTGATAAATGATCATTACCGTAACAGTAAATTAGACTGTGCTAAGAAGGTAGTTTTCTGCTAAGAATGATCCAAATAATCCACTGTTCCTGATAATTCAGGAAACACTATTCGAATTTTTTAAATCTAATGTTTGGAAAATTTTTTAAAATCCTAATGTTTGGAAAATTTGAACATTACTTCAAACAAGGTAAAATGAGGACATCTGAATGACTTTCACAAGCCAAATTAATATCCTATCAGGACTTCTCTTACAAAAAGGAAACTTTTTTCTTTCTAATGGGCTTTATTATGTAAGTTCACTAAACTCAAATTTGAATTAGCCCTAGTCAAGGTTGGTCATTTTGAAGGTTGGTCATGGGGAATAAGAAGCAGCCACCTTATTAACTATTTTTAAATCAAGCTTTTATTCTATGAATATGAGGTAAAATGATTTGACATGTCCATATACACACAGATATAGCAGCAAAGTTCCTCTGTTCTTCCAAATTTCATTTTAGAGTGTAAAAAGACCCCACAGCATGTCCCCAAAATACCTCTGTATAAGGTATTTTGATATACCTCACTTGATACACTGAGGTTCTAGCTGTACTTCAAACTAGAGTAAATTTGAAGAAGTTTGTAGTCATGCCTCCTACCAAAAATTTTAAAGCTTAAACCAACAACCATGACAAGACATCTTGACATGGTATATTCAACAAAAGCTAGCTCTTATTAGATCTTTAAATTCAGTTATCCATTAGTAATTTTATCTGATTTCAAAAGCAACACAGATTTCACACTAGTTTCCAATTAAAACAGAAATAAATTTTCCCAATAGTCCACTAAAATGTTTGACAGGTAAGTAATGGGGTAAGTAAGCACTCATTATTTCTATATTGAAACATACAAAGGGGTAAAATAGTCTTGTTTTCTGCCCTCTCTTCCCTTTGATCATATCTCAGAGAAATCATCAATACTCTAAGTCATTAAGCAAATAAACCTGTAGTTTTACTTCTAGACCTCTTTAAAAAGTATATTTAAGTTTATCTACAGCTTACTAAAAATACACATAGAATATTTTATCAACATGTAAGATTACATGAATTTGAAAGCTTGAAGATATTGTGCAACTTTGATATGTTTTATCAAAATTTTACATTTAAAAAAAGCATTTTGTCTTAAAACTAGAAAAAACCTAAGTTTAAAAAACTATCAGAAAATTAAAGACCTTGTGATTGTCAATATCTACTTTATGCTTTTTTAAATATGAAGGAAAGATTTTTTAATCCATGTGAATAACTAGAAAATGATATTCAGTATTAATTTATAGGGAGAAAATTCAATCCTTACATACCTCCCAAAACAAATCTCTAATTAAGCCATACATTTAGGGTAAACTAGGTAAAATCAGTATGTCAGAATATGAAGGCTCAGAGTGATATCTTGTTTTACAATAAGGCCATCTCCTTTTTCAAAGTTAGAGAAAGTAAAAAGAAATAAAAGTTAAAAAAGGTAAGTAATTCATACCAGTTCTTTCCAGTGTTATCTATAAGCAAATAGTTTTGCTTAAAATTATAGAAAGGCATTTTAGAGAAAAATGCAATGTAAAAAAACAGGTTATATCCTTTCCTTGGTTCATAGCAATATCCTTGATTCCTTAATTAATGCCATACCTCAAACTAAATTACAGTTATGTCATTAATAGGTCCACTTTTTCTTCTCTCTTTAAGACACAGAGACATCCCAATAACTCTTGATTATTACAACTACCGTCTGGGCAAATATGGGAATTAAAATAGAAAAGCCATCAACACCGAGAATGGTTAGGTAGATAAAATCATAGGAAACAATTCTACACAGCAATACAAAAGAATAAGCTACATTTACTTAAAATGTACAGCTATCAGCTGTTAAGATATCATAATCAGGATTATGTTAACTATATAGCCCAAGTATGTATATCAATGTATATCATCCCACACTCCAGATTAAGATATAGTGTAGCAAAAGAAATATGCTCACCAGTATTTAGTTTTTGAAAGCAGTATTTACTTTTTGAAAATGGCAGCTACCACCAAGCTTCTTCAGAATAGTCTTCCTGGACTATTACCCCAAATCCCTATCTTCCACTCACTTGACTGTCAAAACTTAGTAAGTGCTGACCAGCGCAGAGTTTAAGCCAGTTAAACCTGAGAAGTCACCCTTCCTTCAAGTATCTTTCTGAATGATGAGACTGGGTGATAATTCCTTCAGGTTAGAAAATATGGTCCTAAAATGGACCATACTTTATATACCAGGAAAAAAGAAATTCTGCCAGAATCCTTTACCTACTATAATCTCTCTCTCAAAATCCTGGAAGAAGAAAAATGGAACATTTACAGATAGTGTCATCAAAGAACAACATAAATGTCCTGGCAGGGCAGCGCTGAGAAACTGAATTAGGAAATCTCAGAACTTAAAAAAAGTCAGCCAACTTAGGAAACGTATATCGATGTCTAACAATAAAATATGCTGCCAGAACAAAGAACTTTAATATGATTCGATCATGTAAAGATGCAGTAATATGGGATTCTCAAATGCATAAGACACTTTGGAGTAAGCAATGGAAATATTAGCATATCATCAAATAACTAATATTCAATTAGCCTTTATTATGCCTTTCAAATATATTTTGCATCTATGCTTCAAATTACAATGTCCCAGTGGCAGTAGTAAAATCACTGCAATGTATGGCAGTGACAATACAATATGTATTTGTTATGCAGCAACCACAAAATATATTTAACCAACAATCACAATGTCACAATATGGCTTCATCATTCTGATATCATAACATCCTACTATCATTACATTTTATCACAAAATGGTTATATTAGGCTTGTCACAAACTGAGTCAAATAACATTTTAGAGTAACAATATAATCTGAATTATTTATACTTTTGTGTATACACATTAGCAGCCAAGTGTTTCACTTACAAATAATATTTTAATGAAAAGCAAATGTATAGGGTTTGCTCCACATGGCTGTACAAAATAAAATATCAAAATACAAAAAAGTCATTAAGAAGTGAATGACAACTAAAATACTTCTGGAAATTTATTATTCCTAATGTAGTAACTCCTATTATAACAATGTCTTCAACTTCTGTGTGCTTTGAAAATTAACCGTACACATGCAAAATATATTTCAAAATATCCAAAAGTGATACTTTTTTCAATCATCTTAATGAACACTAATTTTTAGCATAAGCTTGTTACAGTCAAATTACTAGAATCCCCATCCCCAAGCAAATCTGGAAAATTTTAAAATTAGAGTTCAAGTTTATATCACTGTAGAAACATGATGAAAGTGCTTTGGGTCACCTTTCTGGTGGTGTTACAAGAGGCTATGTAATTGAATCTTTAGTCTTAGATTCAATAAATGGTTAAAACTCCTGAAAAGAGTTTTCAAAAATTTGAAATAGCTGTAGCATAGTGCAGAGCACTAAATTTGAGTCTGAAGATCAGCCCAATTTATCACTAGTTTTGTAACTCTGTTAATGTCATTTGATCTTTGAGTCTGTTTTTAGAGCTCAAACACATAACTCTGTCCTACATGTTTTACAATCTCTTGTCCAACATTTTTTCTACACATTATTTTTCTTTCAACTATAGACTTATTGAGACTCTACTAAGTGCCAGGAATTGTGCCAGGCACATTTTATTATTCTAATGAGGAACTGAAGGTATGATGTCAGAAATGTGACCTTTTTGTTTGGAGAGTTTCAGGATCAGTGAATGAAGTTACATATCCCCACTTAGTTACAAAAGAAAAAAAAAAGGACTAGGAACAGCCTCTAAGCTTTAAGTTTAAATACAGGATGATACCAAGTAAGGCTCACAATGGCAAAAACAGTGAGATAACAATTTGCTAACTAGATATTCTGAATCATTTCTGTTTCTAGTACCATGAAATTTAGGAAGGCAATAGACTTGAAAACTTAAGTAAAAATACTTAAATTTATGTAGAAATAACCAGGATCCAGTTACGGTCATGAATTAACAGAGGCAAGAAGCCATACTCTGTCACAGGTTGCTTGCCTTGTCACTTTCTATTGCACTAAACCTATCTGAAAAGCCTACCTTGTGGGAAAAAAATTAGAGAGAAAATGTCAAGTGAAGCACAAGAACAAGCAATGGCATTTGTAGTATTTTATGAAAGTGTACAAGACTTAACTGACACATCTCACCCTGTAAGTTATGAAATACAAACACGGATCAATTTTAATGAAGCAGCATTCTGATAGGAATTAACTAATTTAAAAGCTTTATTAACACAGCAGCTTTGTCTTACTAATTTAATCTGGTTAATCCTTTCAATTTAAATGTTATGAATCAAGCATATTTTTTAGCAGCCTTCTCATGAAAAATTACAAAGATTACACAGGAAAACCTAAAAACCGGAATTATTTCTCTCGTTAAAACGTGAATTAATTTAAAAATATTGTTTGGAATGTAACTCTGGGAAGCAAAATATGTATAGAAATACTTAACGAAAACATATATACATATATTTAATGCAGATACGGGTATGACTGTTAAGATCAACAACAGGCTTTAACTACTTTGGATCCACATAAAGCCTTTAACATACATTCTCTTAAAGCCAATGTGATTTGTTTAAAGATTCAGACCCAGGAGAAAAGCGGTCAGGCAGTGAAAGAGAGGATGTTACTTTTTTCAGCATTTTCTAATGAAGCCCATCTCTTACACTGATACAAACTTTTGTAGGTTAGTCCGAACCATGAGCTACCTGGGGTTGGCAGAAGGGTGCATTCAGAGACCAGGATGGGATCCTAGATGAATGCCAGTCTCCAAACATTAATGATTCCCCTTGCCTAGGAAGCCTGTCAGGGTAAAAGCACGTAGGGATCCTCCGGAAAGCTAAAAAAAAAAAAAAAAAAAAAAGCTGGTCGGCAGTAACCAGAGTAGAAACTGGGAGCAAGTCTTCCCTAAAACAGACTTGGTTAAGCAGCATTTAGAAGTCTCCACGCAACCCTTCCTCCCCTCCATCTCCGTCAGACCGGGCTATCCTCTCCAAGTCCGAAGGCTGAGGGGTCGGAGAGAGATGTGGGATCCCCCGGCAAGTCCCCTCCCCAAGTTTTCCCAATGTTGAGCCCACATCTCTGTTCTGAACCGACCTAGGAGCTGGTCCAGGGCTGGGAGCCCGGTGGATACCAGCAGCTGTCCATTCCGCACCGACGGTCGTGTCCCCGCGATGGACAGCAGTCGAGAGCAGCCGCTGTCGGTACCGCTGACTCTAGGACCCCTCCGCTGGAAACTGGTGACGTTATTTTTGCTGGCCGCCGCAACTACTGACCCAGAGCTCCCCGTGCCGGTGCCACAGGTCGCCGCTGCCGCCATCTTGGAGCTTCCCGCGTTGACCCAATAGGAACTCTGGGAGTTCAAGCAGCAGGCCTATCAGAGCCAGCTCCAAACTCCCGCCTCCTTGCCCCCTCCGCGGCTCCCGTAGCCAATAGGACTGAGAGCTCCCTCCAGAGTCAACCAATCGCAAGGCGTATTGCTGAAAAGTGCGCTATACGTCAGGACGGCGGACTTCTGCGGGGCCCAGGTGAGAAAGGCCCACCTGAGTCCTGGTGAGAGACTAACGGGTTTTTTTGGGCTAGAGGTGGGTAATATCGTTCAACATTCTTGTTTTGTGTGCCTTCATTCACACTGAGTTAAAGAAAAGGCTGGTGGGGTAATGTATCAAGGAACTACCAGTAGGACCTTGCACTTTTCTCCGCTCCGTGGTAAAGAGGAAAGAAAACTTTCTCCTGCCCCTTTCTCTTCTGATTTCTGAGAAAATTCCTTCTGCCTTCTCCATCAGGTTTTTTTCGGAGTGGTTGTGTAATATAAAAGGGGTCGAAACTGTTACCTTAATTAGTTGCTTGCTGAATGCCAGTGACAGGTGGGTTGGATTTAGATCTTAGAGTAAAAACTCTTGAGCTATGAGGCGATGTGGGTTTCCCCTGTCTCCAACAGCAAATGACAACATGTACCTCTCTGACAAGTCCCCGTGAGTAGCTTTCGTTAATTTTAATTAGTGCTTCTGGAAGTCTTGGAGCACCTTTCCATAAGTGGTGTGAATGGTAAGTGTTACTCTGACAACCTTGTTCACACATTTAATTGTCTTTTGCTGTTAAGGTAGCTGCAAATAACAGACAATACTTTAGGTTTCTTTCCCGAAAAACTGGTAAGAATTAGATGTTTAAGTGCCTTCTTTTTCAAGTAATTTGTGAACTGTGAGTCAAGAACTTATTAGAATAAGAGTTTTTGTTTGTATGTTTGTTTTACTTTATTATCATTTATTTATTTGGGGGAGAGGTAATTAGGTTTACTTTTTTTTTTTTTTTTTTTTTAGAGGAGGTACTGGAGCTTGAACTAAGGACCTTGTGTATGCGAAGCATGCGCTCTACCACTTGAGCTATACCTTCCCCTCCCAGAATAGGAATTTTATGTGTGGAAAAAAACTTGTAATTTAGAGCTGTGTCTTTGGAATTAAAAATTTTCTCAAAATTTTGAATTAGGTGGGGGGCCAGGGATTGGAGTAAGTGATTTTTAAAGGTATTCCTGATTCACAGATATCTAAACTAAAAAAGACTCCCAAATTATGCTTGCACTAAGTTATTGTTGGTTTTGACAGTGATCTAGGTACTTTAGAAAAACACCCAAACTTCATGGAAATTCTTGCCATAGAATTGTTTTAAATCTCAATGACCTGTGAAAATTTTTTTGGCTGATTCTGTTTGATAAGTTGAAATTATATTGCTAAATAGTGAGTGAAGTTTTTCATTTAGGGAAGTGTTTTGGTTTTTGTTTGTTTGTTTAAGAAGAATGTTCAGGAGAAAAACCCCACCTTGCTGTTTAACTATATCAGCTGGAAAGCTTTATCAAGGTTTAGATGCTTTCATTTAGACTCTTTCACCAGTATAAATCTGTTACCTAAATTATTCAGTAAATAACTGTTGAGTATTTGCTGTCTGCTTGGACCTAACCTTGTCATTTTAGGCCTATAGAAAGAAGTAAAACATGTTCTTATTTGGGGGAGATAAGATTATCACATAGAAAACACTATGACACTTAAAATGAATGTATTGAAAAATATGTGCTAATTTTGTCCCGTGGTACATAAATAGAAGGAAGACCAAAGTAAAAAGAGACAAGGCAATCTAATATCAGACAGAAAGTTCTTGGATAGTTTTGCTGCTCTGAAAACTTTGAAGTACTACAAATACTGACTTTTATGTTTCTTTACTATATATTTTCTCATTTTTTACTCTATTTACTTCATCCCTTAGTTTTCTAAGCCTTATTACTAAAACTGAAAAATTGTTTTCAACTTTAACTGTAACGCAGGAAGCCTGACACATAAGCACACCAAGCCTGAAATTAGGATATATCTTTGGTATAATCTTATCATCTTATCATAGGATAAATTAATTTAATCTTTCTTAATTTTGTTTTTCAAAGGCAACACTTTTGCTGTCTAAGCAAATAATCCCAAATACTTGAATTTACCAGTATGTAGAGTAGAATGTAAAACATTGGAATAAGTAATGTATTTGTGGAAAGGAAGATTTAAAAGGATATATGCTTAGGTATGGTGTTAAATGATTAGTAACAATTATTTATTGAACACATACTTAATCTCATGGAGTGTGCTAAGTGCTCAGATTACAGGTGAAGGAACACTTAGTCTCTACCCTCTTTGAGTTCACAGTTGGGAGAGATAAGTGGGTCGATAGGATAATGAAGTGCTATGGAGGACAAATGCAGAATACATGACTTGGATGGAGAGGGAGAATCCTTAGAAAGCTCGTCGTGAGGAGGAAGCTTAATCTGAGTTTTGAAGGATGTGTAGAAGATAAAGGCATTATAGAGAATGGAAACCATTACAGAGAATGGGAAGACTTCTCTCATTGCTGCTGTGCAGATAGTTCTCTTAATTTATACATAGTGCAGAAGAGGAGACTGGAGTCTAACTAATATTTTTTTTAAGGTGGATTTTTTTCCCTTAAGGATTATGGGAAATGATTGAAAAATTTTGAGTGAAGGAATGACATAATAATCATGTTTGGTCGTTATGTTAAATGATCAAATATGGCTAAAAAATATCCTGGAAGAGAATGGACTGGCTTAAAGTATGATTGGGATAAAGAGAATGGAGTGAATCAAGAGCTCACTGTAAGGGGTAGAATCAATATGACCAAGGAAGATTGACCAGAAATCAAAGATGACTAACAGGGTTCTGTCTTGAGCAACTTTTTGGGTGGTGGAGGATAAAGAATAAAAGGAGAACAGTAGAATTTTACAGTTGTGCTATTTGTTGTTTTAGGAAATTGGAGATCAAAAATTTTAATCTGTTTTGAATGTATTTAATTAGAAGTAACTTTGGAGGAGCCAAGTGGAGATGTCCAATTCACAGTAGGCTGTTTGTGAGAGAGATCTCTAAATGAAATATATACATTAGAAAATAGTCCATGGTGGGAGTTTACCTCAAGGAAATGGAAAAACTCACCAAGGAAAACGTATACTTTAGAATAAGAAGAAAAAACATTCAGGAATAAACTTTGGGGAGCATGAACACTTAAAAGGTGTGCAGAGGAGCAGAGAGTAAAATATTGGAAAGTGTTTGATTTAGTAATAATAATTTAGTTTTGGCTTTGTTAAGGGCAGATTTGATCGAGGAGCAAATCAAGAAGTCAAATAATTGTATTGAGAATTGAATGGAAAGTGAAGTTGAATATTATATAAAAGTAGACCATTTTGCATTTTAGAAAGCTTTGTTGTGAAGGAGAATAGAAGGAGATAACAAAGGTTTAAGGGATGATTTTGCTTGTGTGTGTATGTGTGTGTGTGTGAGAGAGAGAGAGATAAAGGTACTAAAAAACATTCTAGGTAATTGATTAAGAAAAAAACCTGAATGAGGTAGAAAGAATGGAATTCAGAGCACAGGGAAGGGATCAGTATTTGAAAGGAGGAGGCTAAATTCAGTGGCTGAAAGATGTAAATGAAAATAAGACTCTCTGATCTCCTTTTTGCCATTAAATCTTTGAGTTTTTAAAACCATTTTCTCTTTTTTGTTCCATATTCTTAACTTCATCCAGTCCCAGGACCTTGGTTCCTGTTTATATATCAATAAACGTATTTATGGTCCATATTGCTTCTGTGACATCCAGAATCATAAGTTCAGATATTTACCTTTTACTTGGAAGTCCTAGTGGGACCTCAAACTCATAATGCCCCTGGCTGAATTTCCTTTGGTGTTTTGTATCTCAGTAAATGATAGGACCATTTGTAGAATTAGTTGCCTAAATCAAGGAATCTCACTATATTCAATTACTCTCTCAAGCTTTATTCCTACATATCCAGTCTGTTACCAAGACTTACGGAGTTTATTTCTAAATAGCTCCTAATCCATTTTAGGGCATTTAGCCCTCATCTTTGGTTCTCCTGCAGTTCATTCTCCAATCAAGAGTCATTCTGATCCTTTCAAAATAGATATCTGATCATATAGTATAAAAACAAAACTTAAGGACCTGCATTTAGTTTCTTTTACCTAACTCTCTAACGACATCACTCTATAAATTCCTTTACTCTCTGCACTCTAACATTCATTTATTCTGCGGTACTCACCTGTTTCATAAATGTATCTATGAAGGTGAACAAGACATTTTTAGTGGTAAACATTAAACACTACAAATTTTTAGTGATAAAAGAGAAAGAAATTTCAGAGGTAGAAAGGCCCAGCATAGGTGTACCTCCCAATCTGGGACTGCTCTTCCTCTTTGCACATAGCCCAAGTAAAGAATTGAACAACTGCTGACTTGTGCCTTTCGTGTGTCAACTTGGGTAGTCTCATAGGCATAAAGCTGCTGCGTCAGTCTAAGCCTGTGTGTGATTCTAATTGTCCTGGACGTTTCTGACAAGAGATCAATTCCTCCTCAGCATGAATAATCGGGAAGCCCAGAGAAAAGCCAAATATTTAAAACTTTTCCATGTGAAGCTTCTTACATCACATCTACTGATTTTGCATGAAAGGTCATTTAGACTAGTGATGAGTCCCTCTGAAGAAATGCATAATTCTTGACCCAGTAAGTGGTGTTAGCAGAGGGAAATATTTTGACTACTGTTTCTCAGTTTAGGGATATGAAGTTTCTTTTATGATAAGATGACAGTTAAAAGTCTTAACAGATGTTTTCAATCTTATATCAGAACTAAATTGGAACCATCTATTACACAGCTTTCTTTACTTTTTATTCATAGCTTTTGTTCTACCTTTCTTTAAATTATATTTTCTTAGGAAATACTTTTTTATTGTTTTCAAATTTGATAGCATTAATTAGTTGCATTCTCTACATTGAATTCCTTTATAATGCCTTCCATATCCATGATGATATTTAGTTTTTTTATTTGTAATACTGTATCTTTGGATTTGTTTCTCAATTTATGCTTTTTCTCTCTGAATAACCTTGAAGGATTAATAAAACTATTTTAATGATATTTTCATAGAATGATGCCTTAGATTTAGGCACTAATTATTTCCTTTTCTAACATTACTAATATCTATCTTTTTTTTAAATTGAAGTATAGTCAGTTACAATGAGTCAATTCCTGGTATACAGCACAATGTCCCAGTCATGCATATATATACATATATTCGTTTTCATATTCTTCTCCATCAAAGGTTATTACAAGAGATTGAATATAATTCCCTGTGCTATACAGAAGAAACTTGTCCCTTATCTATTTTCATATACAGTAGTCAACCTTTGCAAATCTCAAACTCCCAAATCTATACCTTCCAAACCCCCTTCCCCCGACTAATTTCTGTCTTCTGAATTTAACCTTTCTTCCTGCTTCTTTTAGATTTTTTTTATATTTCATTATAACACTTTTAAAAGCAATAATTAAAATATAGCTGTAGTAATCTTTTATGATAATTTCCAGGTAAGCTCTGTCCAATAGTACTTACTGTGTTGAAGGAAATATTCTGAATCTGCACTAGTACAATAGCCATTAAACACATTTGGCTGTTGGGCATTTGCAATGTGGCTGACATGACTGAGGCACTGAATTTTTAATTTTGTTTCAATTATTTAAATTTAATCACTGCTTTTGACTAGGTGCTGCTGTATTGTACAGCATAGCTCTAGATCAAAGTTTGGCAAAATTTTTCTGTAAAAGACCAAGTAGCAATTATTTTAGGCTTTGCAGACCATATGGTCCCTGTTGCAACTACTTAGCTCTGTTGTTATAGCAAAAAAGCAGCCATAGACAACATGTAAACGAATGAGCATGGCTGTGTTCCAGTAAAACCTTATTTGCTAAAATGAAATAAGCAGGATTTGGCTAATGGCCTCTAGTTTGACAACCTCTGCTGTAGATCATAGATGTGTCTAAGGGTATGTATTTTTTCTTTTTTCTGCTCTGTATTCCCTGAGTCCTTTTCATTATTTTCCTCCTTTGTGTGTGTGCATGTGTATTTTTTGGAAGGAAGAAAGGGGTCTTTTCTTGCAACATTTTAGAGAGATTATTACCCTCCTTGAGTTATTCTGTATTTCTTCAACTTTGATTCCAACTTTTCTATTTTTTGTGTATGTGGGGGAACTGGTGGTGGACATACATTCTGTTTAAAAGTTTTTTTTGGATTCTGTTGTAAATTTCTTTAAATTGCTATTTGTTCTTTTAATTCTATCATATGCCTCTAATTTTATAGGTACAATATCTTGTTTAACACTTCTGAAGATGTTAAATAGAGTTCTTTTCCTTTTTCTTTCCTCCCTGGATTACCTTTGATTTCTCCAGAGTTGCTTGTTCTGTTTTTCATCATGGGACTTCTTTTTCATTCTTGTGGTTTCCTTAAATGTTGGTGATCCTTGGATATTCATTCCTGTTGCTATATGACCAGTTGAGTAATATAGATAGATGGAGTGAGTTTTCTCTTCTTTTGTTTTTCTAGCAAATCTTTGCCCTAAATGGAAAGAACACTAATGGGGAGTTCCTTGTAGATAGGTAGGAAGGACTTACTATTTTTTTATTGAAGTACTTTGATTTATAGTATTGTATTAGTTTCAGATGTATAACATAGTGATTCAGTGTTTTTATAGATTATATTTTGTTTAAAGTTATTATAAAATGTTGGCTATATTCCCTGTGCTATACAATACATCTTTGTAGCTTATTTATTTTATATATAGTAGTTTGGACCTCTTAATCCCCTATCCCTATTTGGCCCATCCCCTGTCCCTTTCCTCACTGGTAACCACTTGTTTTTTTCTTATATCTGTGAGTTTGTTTCTCTTTTGTGATATTCATTTGTTTTAGTTTTTAGCTTCCACATGTAAGTGATAACATACAGTATTTGTCTTTCTCTGTCTTACTTCACTAAGCAAAACATACTTCAGGTTCATCCATGTTGTTGCAAGTGGCCAAATTTCATTCTTTTTTTATGACTAAGTAGTACTGCACTCTGTGTGTGTGTGTGTGTGTGTGTGTGTGTGTCTCACATCTTTATCCATTTGTCTGTTGGTGAACACTTAGGTTGCTTCTGTACCTTGGCAATTGTAAATAATGCTGCTATGAAAATTGGGCTGCATGTATCTTTTTGAATTAATGTTTCTGGGTGTTTTGTTTTTTTTTTTTGGATTTATGCCCTGGAGTCGAATTGCTAGGTCATTGGTAGTTCTATTTTTAGTTTTTATCAGAAACCTCCATACTGTTTTCCATAGTGACTGCACCAATTTACTTTCCTACCAGCAGTGTATGAGGGTTTCCTTTACTCCACATTCTTGCCAATATTTGTTATTTGTGTTCTTTTTGATGATAGCCATTCTGGTAGGTGTGAGGTGATATCTCATTGTGGTTTTCATTTGTATTTCCCTGATAATTAGCAATGTTAAGTATCTTTTCATGTGTCTGTTGGCCATCTACATTTCCTCTTTTATTCAACATAGTTTTATAAGTCTTAGCCACAGCAATCAGAGTAGAAAAAGAAATAAAAGGAATCCAAATTGGAAAGGAAGAAGTAAAACCATCACTATTTGTAGATGACATGATACTGTAGATAAAAAATCCTAAATACACTACTAGAAAACTACTAGAGCTCATTAATACATTTGGTAAAGGTGCAGGATACATAGTTAACATACAGAAATCTACTGCATTTCTATACACTAAAAACAAAGTATCAGATAAATTAAGGAAACTATCCCATTTCCCATCCCATTAAAAAGAATAAAATACATAAAAATAAACCTACCTAAGGGGTAAAAGACCTGTACTTTGAAAACTCTGATGAAAGAAATTGAAGACAGCACAAACATGGAAAAATAAACCGTGTTCTTGTATTGGAAGAGCCAATATTGTTAAAGTGACTGTATTACCCAAGGCAATCTACAGATTCAGTGCAGTTCCTATGAAAATACCAAGGACATTTTTCACAGAACTAGAACAAAAATTTTTTAAAATTTGTTTGGAAACACAAATGACCCCAAATAACCCAAACAATCTTGAGAAAGAACAGAGCTGGAAGAATCAATCTCCCTGACTTCAGACAATACTACAAAGCTACAGTAATCAAAACAGTATGGTACTGGCACAAAAAATGGACACATAGATCAGTGGAATAAGAGACAAAGCCTAGAGAGAAACCCACACACTTATGGTCAGTTAATCTACAACAAAGGAAGCAAGCATATACGGTAGAGAAAATACAATCTCTTCAATAAGTGGTGCTGGGAAAACTGAATTCCATATGTAAAAGAATGAAATTAGAATATTCTCTAATACTGTATATATAAATAAAGTGGATTAAAGACCTAAATGTAATACTGGGTACTATAAAGCTCCTAGAGGAAAATATAGGCACAACACTCTTTGACATAAATCACAGCAATATTTTTTGGATCCATCTCCTAAAGTAAAGGAAATAAAAGCAAAACTAAACAAATGAGACCTAATTAAACTTAAAAGCTTTTCCACAGCAAAGGAAACCATTGACAAAATGAAAAGTCAACCTACTGAATAAGATAAAATATTTGCAAATTATATGACCAATAGGGGATTAACATCCAACATATATGAACAGCTCTTACAAGTTAGCATCAAAAAAAGAAACAACCTAATTAAATAATGGTCAGAAGAGCAGAATAGGCCTTTCCCCCCAAAGTTCTCACTTTTAAGGGTACTTAGAGAAAAGGAAAAAAATGATGGTAGGATCGTAAAGAGAGGAGACTGATTAAAGCAAAAATTGGGGTTGAAACAGAAATGCAGTAGAAAATAGAGGGAAGATAGATTGGCAAAAATGAGGATGTAGCAGGAAAGTGAAATGTGCAAAAGCAAAGGCAAGAAATTGGATGGGGAGTACTTTAAAGGGAGTGAAAGATGGCAAGTAATGCCATGAATAGCTTAATGTTAAAAGGTAGAAGATTACTATATCAGAGTTTTCTTCGGCTTCAGTCAAATCAATGATAATTATTAGAGAGTCATTGTAGTCATGATATCAAACACTCAAGGCAAGCTTCTCATGTCATTTTGGCAGAAGAAAGTAGTAGGAACCATTTTACAAATTATTAATTAAATTTGAATAAATGTTATGTTATAGTATTTTGATATGTGATCTTATATAGACTATGTAATTATGTTTCAAGGTGAATATCCACATGTTCTTCTAATGGCAAAAAATTGGTTTTAGTGTAGACATTTAAATGTTTTATGTAAACACATTTAAAGTAAACTATATAATATTTAAAATACGCATGAGGTTACATCATTTGTTCACTCAGTCATGAGAACTGATGTAGAGTGTTTGGATATGAGGCAGGTTTTGACATCCGGTAGAAGATCAAACATGTTTTGCCTTTAACATATTATGGCTGGTCACCAGGTCTTCCTACAATATCACGTGCATTCCTCATGTTTAGTAAATATCTGACTAATGAGTCTTAATACGTCAGCATTACAAACTACTTCTCTGCCATGTTTTCATTCTTAAAATTAACCTCAGATATTCATTCATGCTGACATGTAGAAATGAATGTTATATCCTCTCTATTTCCTGAAAATTGCTTAGAAGACTTTGATATATCAGAACTGTATATGGTTGGCTTATTGACGTCTTTAAGTTCTTGACCATGTTTTTCTCTAGGTTGATTGATATATTAGGTCACCCACTTACTTTCTCCTAGTTAAATTCTCTGGTAGATTAAGGACTTTATTTTCATTTAAAAAAGTCATTTTATTTAAAGTCTCATTGAATATCTGAATTCAGAATCCCACTGATCCACTAAGAGGAAAATGCACCTTAACATCTGAGAGACATTTAGTCGTATTATATACTAATTCAGCTAAACATGGCTCAAAGATGCCTTTACCTAATGTAATTTTGATTTCCTTCTTTAGGAATCCTGAAACCTTGGATCACCTATAGATGCTTTGAGACATTCTTTAGATGGTTTTTTTTTTTCTGGAAGCCCAGCAACTACCCTGAAAATTCAATTTATTGTTGAACAGACCTATGGTAAGTGGATTTTTTTCCTCTTTTTTCTTCTGTCGGTTTCATGTTAGAGTTAAGTCTTATGGATGTTGTAATGCTGCTCTCTGCTGGACACAGTGTAATTTTTTAAAGTTGGCACTTAATAGATGGGCAAATAACTGATTAGTTGGATCCTCTGTGGAAGGGAATCCTTGTCTGCATTCACTGGAAAACAACAGTTTAGAACAATAGCAACTCTGTTTTCATAACGGGTGATACCATTGCCATTGTACTGATATCTGGAGCCTGATGAAAGTGCTGATAGTCTCGTTTCTAAATTTCACTGCTTCCTGTTTAGTGGTGTCTGAATGTTATAACGAAGGTACACTGAAGGATGCTTGTAGGTGATGGACCTTTTGGGATTTCCTACATTGTGGGTATATGTATGTTTGCAATTTGTCAACTTTATGATTATTATTATGTATTATTAGTGTCTTTTTTGTAATAGTTTAAGTTCCCTGTATGTTTGTTTCTCCAATGGAAATATTTAAAACATCTCCAGTATAATTTAAGTTAGACAGTGTTAGATCTGTTTTGAGTGAGTCCCTTTATTGTATTTTGTACAGTTGAATTTAAGTGATCATATATCCATCCTATAATCTAGCTATTATGTTTTCTGGCACACATAGTGAACCGTTCTTACACAGACTGATGTTGGATTGGACCTCAAGTGTCATATCATCTATCCTATCATGAACCCTCATACTAAATGCAAACACAGGTGTTCCCAAAGCTATTTTAAAATGTGTGGGAATTCAAAGTGTTTTTCTTCCTACTTTTGAGCTGAAATAGTATATTTGTTTTTGGAGTGCAGCCTGCATAAAATTAATACCTGGATGTAATGTCAATTTTTTTGAGAGTAAGCATACATTTTCTTGAAAAGAAGAAAAAGTTATTAGCACAACATGGAGCTAGGCAAAGATTTAACAGTATAACTGATCTTATGCTCTTTAATGGTTTGGAATTTTTTTTGTGGCCATTGGGAAAGCCTGTGAAATCTATTCTTAATTAGAATTGTGGAGAATTAGACATAGTAACTTGTTTTTTTATTAAAGAATTGAAATAAAAATTAGAAATATAGACCAAGAAAATAAAACTGTTAGCAAAAAAGAAGAGCCCTTTCTTCTTTCTCTGTAAGAATATATTATTTCAGAAAGTATATCTTTTTAAACTTTTATTATAAAATATAACATCATCCAGAAACATAAATGTATAGTAAAATAAATAAGTATAAAGCAAACATTCAGTAACTGTAGATCATTACTAGCATCCCAGAAATCCTTGATACAATCTTTTTTTTCTTCAGAGGTACCCAATGTCCTGACTTTTATGATAATTATTTATATAATTCTCTATACAATTTTGTCACTTTTATAGTATTCCTTAGCAATAAGTTCACTTTTTGTATGTCTCTTTTTAATCTTTATGGAATCATATGTATTCTTTCTTCCTTTACCTGGCATTATGTTTTGAAGATATCTACACAGTTGTATGTAGTTTTATTTTAATCATTTTCACTATCATGTGTTTTTCCTTTGGAAAGAATATGACAGAATTCATCCATTCCTTTGTTGGCGAATGTTTGGGTTCTTTCTAGTGTTTGGCTATTATTAACAACATTACCATGAATTCTTTACATATCATGTGTTGTTTTTTATGTGTCAGGTGGAAAAAGTCATATATTTTCAGGTTAAATATAATTGATTATAGTGTTGTTTTAAATTAATTTAAATGAGTACATGAGAAATTTGTTACATAGTGAGAGTACCACATATTAAATATTGGACAATGTTCTTAAGTAATCAAAATTTCTTTTACTGTAGGCCTTAAATATATAGTAGAGTGGCATATAATCTATGATAGTTTAAAAATAGTATACATATAGATATAGATATAGGACCTAATGTTGTAACTCTTTGTTTTACTTTATTAGCACATTGATTCTATTTACTATTGTGTCATGTTTTCCATAATCTCTTCACTTTCTGATGAAGAAACTAGGGAGGACTAGAGAGATTGAATCACTTGAACAAGGTTATTTAGCAGGTTGGAGCTAGAAAACCAGACTAACCTGTTTGCTTGGCAGTGGCAGTTTAAAGAAAACAAAGTGAAAAGTGAAATCAGGATATTTTCTTGAGTGTGTCCAGCCATTTAAGTGGAAAATTTGCATGACTAGATTTCAGAAATTATCAGATATTCTTTTGAGTCTTAACCAAGAGCTGGCCTTGCAAGAGAATTGTGTGTTTAAAGCTCCTCAAATGTTACTGCATTTTATCACAGTTCATCTTCCAAAAGGCAGCCAGGATATACTCTAACTTTGAGTGAGAATTTTACTTTGAGTAATTTCTCGTTCGTTGGGCTGTTATTAATGAATGGTGTACTATTCCTCATCTGTTAATTTTGTGGATAATCGAACCTTATCCTTTTGTGTGCCGAAATTTATTTTGTATGAATATTTTTCTAAAATGCTCTTGAAATATAAAATGTACCCTTCTGTTTTCTTAAACAGAACACACTGAGTATAATATAAGGTGTTTTTCTTTTTGTTCTTTTGATGACTCTGAGTTGTCATTGTGAACATCAGTCATTTCACAGAATTTGTGTGATTTCCTCAAAACCCATTATGCTGTGTAGGACTGTTGTCCTAAATTATCCTAGACTTATAAACTTTTATGTCCTGGGTGCTAATTATAATGTCTTTTTTTGTTTATTTTTTCTTTGTTAGGTAATTCTTGTCTTTTTCTGTCAGTGCTTTATGTTGACTCTAACGTAAAAATCAGCATTTCCCTAGGAAGTACATTGCTTAGGTGAGAGCTTACCTATGGTACCCATCTCCTGACTAACGGCATTGAAGGTGTGGCAGCTTTTTAAAATTTACTTGATAGTCAGCAACTAGGCTAGCCACTTTATTCCAGGGGACTGAGATTATCTCAACTGATTTCTGAATGATTGCAATACAACAGATGTTGCATATACTGATGCATCCTTATTTAGGGAATAAAAATTATCATGCACATTTTTTCTTATAAAACAGCGGTAGTGAAACTGGATTTACTTAAGGATTCCTTAAATAGGAAGTTCATTGAATTTAAGTGGTTTTTAATTGTGAAATATTTGATAGGATGGGCTTTGAAATAAAAACAATGTATTAGATGATACTGCCTATTAGAAATGGCAGTCATAAAAATTAAACCACCTTTGAAATGATAGATTTTTAAAGGAAAATAGAGAAATATCATAGATTTGGTTTCCTGGAAACATTTAAGTGCTTCAGGAAAGCATCCATTTAAAAATGAAATATATTTGACTGCTTACCCAATTATAAACTATTGAATGTAAATTTAAAGGAAAAAACTGGGGTCGAAGTAGATTTGTTTTTAAATGAAAGGAGATGTTGGGAAAAAAGATAGACATTTGCTATCCCAGCACATTAGGCATCAATATGGTCATTTTCTATGTCAGTGAGACTTTTTTCAATTTGAAAATTTGTTTGCTTTTAAACTTAAGTCAGCAGCTTTTACATAAGCATTTAAAGAAAAATAAACAAAGAGCTTAACATATAGTTTTTTCCAATGAGAACATCTTTGAGAATTGCCTCATGAACAAAATACCTTAGTGGTCTAAAGAGAGGAATAGCTTTTCTGGGACACATCTGAGATGTATATGTGGTGGAAGTGCCAAATGACACAACCCCCGTAGGAGACAGATGAGCAATTTCTAGAAAAGGACCAGTGCATTTACACTCAGTACCAATTCTGGGAATTTATTACAAATAGGCTTGTCTACCTATAGAATAACATATGCATAAGAGTTTCATTGTAGCTTCTTTTGTAGTAGCAAAAGACTTGAAACATCCCTGAAGTCTGTCAGTGGGGTATTGGTTAAATGAACTCTGACATAGCTATGTAATGAAATACTCTACAGCTGGCAAAATAGAAGGGCTGTTTTCTATTTGAATATTTAGAAAGTTTTCAAATGTACATTGTTACTTGAAAAGAGCAAAGTTCAAACAGTGTAAACTACTTTTTGTATGAAGAGGGAGGGGAATAAGATACATTCATATTTGCTTATATGTGCATAAAGAAAATCTGGACGGATATACAAAATCTAAATTTGTATGTGGATGGATATGGAAAACAGAGTAGATGGGACTTTTAGATTGCTTTAAATTTTTGAACATGTGAATGTGTTACTAGTTACAAATAGTCTAATTTGTTAGCCTAATGAGAAAGAAAGGATAAGCAGGCTGTATTTACCACAGAATTAGCCAGTTTTATTCCTTTATCCTTGGCAGATAGTAGGTAATGAGTAAGTATTTGTTATACAAATGAAACTATATGAACTATAAGATCTTTAGATGATCTCTTTTAGCTTATTTTTTGAAGTATCTTTTCAATATACAAAAACAGTGTTGTAAATCATGTGTTGATTCCAGTATAGAAATAAGGGAAAATATTTAAGTGGGTGATAATGAAATATATAGTTTAGTTTATTATCACATTATGGAATTTCATTTAACTTGTATAATATTGATGTTAACGAATTATGTTTCAACTTCACTGAACAGTAAAAATATTTTCAAAAGGTTTCTATTAAAAAGATTTCTATTAAATTAGGTAATAAGTTCCCACAATAAATAAAAGTTTATGAAATTTGAGGGCAAAGTGAAAAGTGGAAAACATATATTCTTTATTTTGCCTTATCTTCTATGCTACTTCAGTTTCTCATTTAAGGTCAAATTTTCATTCCTGAGACTATTTAGAAGCTCTGATATAATAGCAGCAGCACCAGCAGCTCCTCCTGACACAAAGACCTTGTATCTCTGAAAATATATTATAGGTTGGGGGTCGAGGGAAGGTAATAGGGTGAATGGTTGTTGCTCCTAGGTTTATAAGAGTCCAGGAACTTATCTTATCTACTGAGTTGAAACTTTGATTATTAAGATAGGTAGTTATAAGAACCTTTAGTTTTCCCCTTTTATTATG